TCTGCGGGCCGGGGCGGCGCTGGGCTCTCAGTAACTGCCCCTGTCCACCCCCTACTCGGTGCGAGGCGAGCCGCGGAGCCGCAGGTGTGGGCAGGGTCCAGCAGACAGGAGAGGTGGGGCGCCCCGGGGAGGCGGAAATCTCCCGGCGGCCGGGGGACAGTGGGGAGCAGCTCCGCGCTCGGTGCTGGCGGAAAGGTGCGTTCCAGGGCCCGCGGCCGCTCTGGCGCGTCGTGGAGGCGCAGGTGGCGATGCTAGGGCCGGGGTCGCCGTCCTCTCCGGAGGGGCACGCGGTGGAGGGGTGCGGAGGTGCTCTGCAGCGCAGGGAGCTCGTTTGGTGGAGGAGGGCTGGTGGTCCACCGGGGTGGGCGAGAGGAGGGGCCGTGCCGCTGCGTGGACCCCGGGGTGGGAGGGAGAGCCCCGTGCTTTGGGACAGTGACAGATGCTCCGGGAGTGCATCTGCGCCCGCGTCCTAGCGCGAGCGCGGCGGGCCGCGGGTGCCGGGGCTGGTGGGGCGCGCCTGCTGCCCGCTGCGAGCCCCACCTCAGGCCTGGTGTCTCGGAAGGAGCCTGCCGCCAGGATTTAAGTGACTGTCCCCTTAGTCTACTTTGGATCTCCAAGGCTGAGACGGGGATTTCTCCCCCTAACTGGTGTCCCTGGGGACCCTCCCCCACAGTGTTCCTGTCACCCCCCCCCCAGTTCCTGTTCCTCCCAGAAGCCTGCTTTGGTCTCTGTCCCCCTCCCCCACTTTGCCCTGCCCTAATGCTCTGGGTGTGTTCATTTCCCACTTCCTTCCTCACCCTGGGGCCTGGCCTGGTCCTTGCCCGTCTAGGATCTAAGCTCTGCTCGGGACTTTGTACTCAATGACCGGCGACCCTGGTCACCAGCAGCAAAGCTGCGATCCCACCCAACTGCTGCCATCAAGGTCTCTGCCCACTGACTCCTGAGGGACGGATAGCTACATCTTACCTCTTGCCCAAAGCTGATTTCCCCGCACTCTTGTCCCTCTCATGGGTGGGAAATCCCAGGGCCTTCAAAAGTTCTGGGCTGGGGGAAGTGGTGAGCAGCACTGAGGGTCTTCGATACGTGTTTTGAGAGATGGGCCGCCACTGTAAGCTGAACCTGGGAAGGGAGGTGAGGTTCCAGCCTCCATAGGGGAACAAGGGGGAGTGGAGCCCCACACTCCCGGCCCGGAGGCTTGCTGTCAGAGCTGAGACTAGAATCTAGTCCTTTGGGGGCTGTCCTGGATCCCCGAGGGGACTTGATGTCGTGCCAGCGTTCTTTTTCCCTCTGCTGGCTGGGACTGGGTGGGAAAGGGCTGCCGTCCACGCCAGGATTGCAGGAGTGTGACAGCGTAGCTGCAGAGGGGCCCCAAGCCAGCCTCCTCTCGCAGCCTCCCAGTAGCTAAGAGACTGGCTGGGGAGGGGGTGGGTGCTGAGACCAGACAAAGCCGTGGGGTAGGGTGGGGTAAAGGAGGGCAGGCTGAAGTCTTCTGAGGAGGAGCTGATTTCTATGGCAACACTGCTTTCCGGACAGTGTGTCAGAATGGGAGGGCCTAGGGCACACTTACTCCAGCTTCTCCGGGACTGGGGCATTTTGTGAGTGGGTGGGGCGTGAAGAGAAAGGAGAGCAGTTTACGGCGCTGAGACTGAAGTGTACAGTGTTTCTGCTTTGGTTCAAGCATCGGGGCTTCTGCTTTGGTTCAAGCATCGGGGCGTTCAGGTGCTTGCCCCCTCCTCTGAAATGCACTAGTGAACAACAGTCCTTAGAATTATAAGGCCAGAGTTGTAGAGGCCTTTCGTGATCGCTGTTTATACAAACCCCTCATTTTACAGATTTGGAGATAATGGCCAAAGAGACTGTGATTCCCCAGGTCTCATAGAGAAGCATCAGGAATTAGAACCCAGATCTGATTGTTTTACAGGGCCTTGTTTTTCTTTGCCAGAGTTTACCGAGTGCCTATTATGTGCCAGGTCTGCGACACTGACTCTGGCACTATGAGTATGAACAAAAAACAAATTAGTGGTTCCCATGAAGGAGTGTGACAGCGTAGCTGCAGAGGGGCCCCAAGCCAGCCTCCTCACGCGTTCTGTTCCAATAAAGACATAAAGTGTGTGTCTGTGTCTGTGCTGGGCGTGGTGCTGCACCCCTGAAACTCAGCACTCGGGAGGCTGAGGCCAGAAGATTGCGGTGAATTGGAGGCCATCCTGAGTACATGGTGAGTTCAAGGCCCACCTAAACTACATAGTGAGACCTTGTCTTAAAAAACAAAGCAAACAAAATTGTGTGTGTGTTTGTGAGGAAAAGGGGGGGAAATCGAGATAACTATCACAAGATGGAACAGCAAGAGTTTAGGGCAGCCCCACAAGGCCTCCTGATGTGCCACGCTGCTTTCCTGTGGTACAGTGAGGCCTGGAGCATCTCCCCCTCAACTATTGCCTGTTGATATTTGTAGATAACTAAATCGTGGACCAAAGGTGGTAACAGAACAAAGTTGTTGGGAGATCACTCCTTTCCTACTTTTTATGTATGTGGGTTTGTGTTTTGGGATTTTTTTTTTTTTTTTTTGCTTTTTTTTGAGATGGTCTCGCTGCATAGCCTAGGCTGGCTTGAACTGGAACTCTCCCTGCCTCAGACTCCCTCTCTCAATACAGGCATTTGCCACCGTGTCTAGCTTCCTACAGTGTTTTGTGTCTCTACCTGCCTTCTTATTTTATTTTATCTATTTATTTTTGTCTTTTTGAGGCAGGGTCTCGTTCAAGGCTGGCCTTGAACTCATTTTGTAGCCCAGGCTGATCTCGAGCTCTCAATGCTCCTCCTGCCTCAGCCTCCCAAGTGCTGAGATTACAGGCGTGTGCTACCACCGCCCAACTCTACCTGTCTTCTTATTAGGCTTTTACTAAGGCAAACAGGCTGTTACACTGGTACTAGAATTTTGTTCAGGATATTGATTATCCTTAATCCCTTAATTCTCTTAATTCCCTTAGGGGAATCAGCAGGGAAGTCAGTCTAAGGGAACTGAGTTCTTTTTCAGGGTTTCCCCCCTTATCTGAGGTGAGGAGAAGGAAACCTAGAACTATTGCTTGTTCCTCTGAAGTCTGGAGCACACAGGAAGTAGGGGGAGAGGAGACTCTTTACTGCCCAGTGACAACTTGATGGCCTGGGGGTTACAAGGTAGGGAATCCAGAAGGAAGGCCTTGAGCATATGTGGCTCCTGAACTACATGGAAGGGACTTTACTTCTTTTGGCTCTGACATGGGCCTCCTGCTTTTGTGGACACCAGGGAGAAGAAGCCTGACCGTGGGACTTGCTGACACTGTCTTCCTTACACATGCAGAGGGCAAAGTAGACAGGGTTATCCCTCTTCTTAGGTTGCCTCTGAAACAGCCCCTCTAAGATGTGTCTCTGAATGTCCAGTCCCTGCCGAGGTTTCCATCTTCGCCATCTAAAGAACAGGAGGGCAGGGGTTTAGGGATGTTGGTTTTGCTGCCACTTGATTTGGCTGGATCTGGGTCGGGCTTGAGGCCCAGTGACTCAAGGGGCGGGTGGGAACTTTCAAGGGAGCTATGAGTCATGAAGATAAGTTCCCTCCCAAGAGCTGGGTTCATTTCCCCCGGCTATGCCGAAGCCCTCCTGTCCATGCTCTAGGGCGATCTGCCTCCTTGAACTGGGGCCCGTGAGTTAAAACTGCAGGCTGATCTCAGAATAGGAGTTAGGATACACAGAGTGGATGCCTGGGTCCCTGAAATCAGAATGTATCCCTGTATCAGGAGCCCTGGGGGCCCTTGTAACACATGCACCAAGAGTAGCAGTTAGCTGTGAGAAAAGGAAAACAGCATTTCTTAGCACACAGGAAGATAGGGTACTACTTCAGGTCTTTTTCTTCCAGCCTGGCAGGAAAGAAGCTTCCTGTATATTGGTTTTTTGTTTTGTTTTGTTTTTTTTTTTTTTGCACCGGGAATCAAACTCAGACCTTGCGCTTGCCAGGCAGGCGCTGTGCCACTGAACTACATGCCCGGCCAAGGAAGCTTCCTGGACTCCAGCAGTCCTCGGACTCTGGCGCTGTGACTGATAGGCGCGGAGAGGAAAGGGAGGGGGACATTTGGGTAGGGTTTGGCCTGAAAGGCGCAGACTGACTTTGGGGGTTGAACAGTGTGAAAGCTCTGAGGCTTCCTATGAACCTCACAACAGGAGGGTGGGGGAGGGCTGAGAATGGGAGGCCCACACCTTTGAAAGGGTTAAATGGCAGGGCGCAGGAGTTGCTTCGGACTGGAGCAGAGGAGGGGTTACGGCGGTGGGCGGGGCGACCTTGGTAGGCCTGCCCCCTTGCGAGCCAATAAATGTGCACCTCCTGGGGAGGGCGTGACTCACCCCTGGGTCGCAGGGAGGCTGGCCTCCTCCGGGCCAATGAGCGTGGCTGCAGG